GGTCCTGAAATTTACAATTTAAGTAAAGCGCCTGATGATCTTTCTTTCCACGTAGAGAAAATCACTGTAGTACCTGTGAGTCTGGAGAAGAAGATTTTTGAAATATTGGATAATTTTCCCTTTGGGGCCCCGCCCTGGCCCCAGGGGTGGGGGTAGGAATCCCAATTTTACAATTTTGAAGCCGCATCTACCAAGGATGATTCTGACCAAGTTTGAAAAAAATCCATCCACTGGTTCTTGAGAAGAAGTTGAAAATATAAAAGTTTACGCACGACGCACGACGGACGACGACGGACGAAAAGCGATTGGAATAGGTCACTTGAGCAAAGCTCAGGTGACCTAAAAACTGACACAGATTAAGTACTGTATACCTGTTTATGTAATTGAAGGTGGGAAAGGGGTTGTTATTGCTATCATGGTCTTGGCCTACCGGGTTATTGCTATCAATGGGTTGGTCTACAGGGTTATTGCTATTAATGGGTTGGTCTACAGGGTTATTGCTATTATGATCTTGGCCCATAGGGTTATTGCTATCAATGGGTTGGTCTACAGGTTTATTGCTATCATGATCTTGGCCTATAGGGTTATTGTGATCAGGGTCTTGGCCTATGGGGTTTATTGCTATCAATGTCTTAGTTTACCAGGTTATTGCTATCATGGTTTTTGGCCTACAGGGTTATTACTATCACAGTCTGCCTATAGGGATTTTGCTGTCATGGTGTGGGCCTTCAGGGTTTTTGCTTTCATGGTGTGGGCCTATATGGGGGTTTTGCTCTCATAGTGTGGGCCTATAGGGTTTTTACTGTAATGGTGTGTGCCTATAGGGTTTTTTGCTGTTATGGTGTGGGCCTATAGGGTTTTTACTGTAATGGTGTGTGCCTATAGGGTTTTTTGCTGTTATGGTGTGGGCCTATAGGGTTTTTACTGTAATGGTGTGTGCCTATAGGGTTTTTTGTTGTTATGGTGTGAGCCTATAGGGTTTTCGCTTTCATGGTCATTGCTTATTGGGTTATTGCTTTCATGGTCTTGGCTTATTGGGTTATTGCTGTTATGGTCTTGGCTTTTTGGGTTATTGCTTTCATGGTCTTGGCTTATTGGGTTATTGCTTTCATGGTCTTGGCTTATTGGATATTGCTTTCATGGTCTTGGCCAATTGGGATTCACTATTAAGGTCTGGCCTGGTTTGGGGTATTGGCATTCACTATGTTAGTTTTGGTCAAAAGGGTAATTTTTTCACAGTCTTGGCCTGAAAGTTAGTTTATTGCTGCCTGACAGCCTTTCCCTATATGAGGATTTTGCTGCCATGGACTTGCTCTATAGGGTTATTGATCATGATATAACATTATTTGGAATATCAGCTTATAGCTTGCTAATGTTTCACTCTGTATCAATTTTTTTTCAAATACAACAAATAAAGCAACCATAGGTTGAAATCGATTTATTTTCTTGATAATCAATTCAAACCCTCATGTGATCATGATCACTTCAAACCCAAGTTAATTTAGACTTGTCCAGAAACTGGACAGCAATATCAGTGACCAAGACTGACCAGATTACAGTAATTATCCCACTGACACACTCCAGGCAGTGAATCATAAGACACTACAAATCTTCTTACAGAAATATTATTGATTTTGGATTTCACTTGGTGTCCACCCGAGTGACCCCCATCAGAGGCTCTAAGAGAGAAACGTCCAAATGTATTGATCTCTGAAAGGGGGAAAGTGTTACTATGGTGCTTTCATGTAAAAGTCTTCCCATCTTGGAATGGAACTTTTTTCTACAAGAGCATCTTTTATGACTCATGAAGACAAATGCATGTGCATCTTGTGCTTTGGTTAAGTTTGTAAAGAAATCTGCTAAATCAATTTCTTGTTGCTCTCTGTGTACGAGAATCTAGATAATGAAGAAATGGCATTGATTTTCCTGAAATGCCCAGAGGCCACAATTAATTTTGGCGTAGTCCTAATAAATTGGATAATACTCTGATGGTTGACTTTCCCCCGGGACATGCAAATGTAAATTACTTGTTCAATATTTACACTTCTTTTAAAAACTGATATAGAAATATCCGATTGTAACAGATGCCAGTCTGCTAATAGTAAATTTAGTGCTTGAAGTCATAAATTGGCAATATAAGAGAAGCTGATACTAAAGTACTTCAAACTTCATTCATTGATCTCCTTAACGTCAAAAATCATATTCCCCAGAAATTGTTCATAGGAAACAATGAGTTGTAAGGATTTATAGTTTTGAGTTAATAACTACATGAAATAAAAGTCTACCAAAATGACAGATCAACATGAACAATAAATTAATGATTTCTGTAAGATTTTTCCACTTGGATCCTAATGTCATTTTCAAAATAATGATGAGTCCCATTACTAAGAGATATAGAGGGTTCTAAAAATGTGAAAATGTAGGTGAGTCCCACGGAAAAAGCACAAGTCCAAGACTCAAATATAATCACAAATAAATACATTGTACATTAAAAGATACAGGGATAAGCCGAGATCTCTCTTTTTAAGATCCAAATAAGCGAAAAATATATGTCACTTTTCAAAATTAAAAAAGGTAAATATATAAATTTAAGAAATTGCACATATTCACTCCCTTCAGGCCTGCTTTTGTCTGTTCAGAACAATTGGTTTTAAGAGTTAATCCATTTTTTAGGTCAATTTTCATATTAACATTGTAGTATCTTCTTACTCTTACATATGGATTGAACCTGAATTACTTCATTCATGCTTAATGTTAAAGTCTAAAATAATTTTATTCTTTAACCCTTTTACCACTGTAGACCATAATGGACTTAACCATATCAATGCATAGTAGATTCTACTAAAGTTATATAGGGGTGAAAGGGTCTAGAGCATCATAATAACATTATTACATGACAACTCTTTTAAGCAGTGAATACACTCATGTCATATTTTGAGTGTATTACTGCGGTCGTAACACCCCTTGTGACATCCAACATCAAATAAAGACAGCAGACAGGACGTCACAGACATGATGTCAACTTGAACACAATAATAGACATCAAGTCAAAATGATGATGTTGAGAGACTTGTCAATTATCAGAGGATCTATTTTTTAAATATTTGCATGATATTTTTGTTATGCGATAAAAACAATCTAGACACTGTATATTTTGTAGATGTTAGAAAGTTTTCATTTTAGTTCAGCAAAGCCCTACCAATATGAAAACTTCTATTAAAACTTCTAACTTTGTCAATCTTATATGACTAAGTCCCACATTTCTTTTATATTTGAATTGGAGTAATTTTTATCCAGCTAATATTAAGGTTCTACCATGGGGCATTATTAAAGTGTTTGCTTTTTGTGCCAATAACATTATATAGTCTTGTACATGGTTACAGAGTTATACTATGTTTAATTGAAACAATGTTGTACATTGTTGAAAATAAATCTATAAATCAATTAACATGGAATACACAACACGAAGTCAATTAGTTGTGCTATTAGTTTTCAATCTTTTCTGTGTTTTTTTGGTAGTCATACTATGAATGTAAACGAAAACGCTCCAATACACATGCCTGTTAGCGATGTGTACTATACACACGAATCACAGGGGCACGTTACAAATGTCTGAAATACACACATATGCTATACTGATATGGGTCACAACACACATAAACATACACAAGGGAAGAAGCTTCGTCAGAGCACTACCGGTACCGCCAAATTTCAAATGAAGATTTTCAACACTTACTTTTGTTATTTTTTTCAGCGATCTGCGGCGATAGCTTCGGTTTGAATTGTAATTAAATAATTCATCATGATCAATTGTGTAATCATTCGTCTAATACATCCAATCAAGCACTTTTTCGGGGAATTTGCAGTTTTACCGCCATGATTAACTTGAACCTGACCCGGAAATGACGAGGGCTTTTCGACATGTCTTTATA